TGTTGTCTTTGGCGTACTCATCTATTACGTATTTGTCGTATTGCGATTTCAATGTCTGAACTTTTTCTAACAACAGCGCTTTTATTGTTGGCTGGGTAACGATCTCTCCTTTACTTTCTAGCCAATCTATAATCTCTTGTTTCTTCCAAGACATCACTGGAATTGGATATTTTTTAACGGAATGATATGAAGCATTGTCCATTACAATTACGGCATTTTCTTTGAGTAATGGCAAAGTTTTTTCAAACCACTCAAAAAACGTAGCGCCATTCATTTCATCGTGGTAGTCTGACGAGTTGGTTTTGGATTCGAAGCACAAAAGGCCCCCAGGTACAAAGCCGTCAGTTGATCCGATGTGCAATACAATGAGTCGCTTACCTTTACCTGAGGGTTCCTTTTGTCCTGTGGTGAGGCCTCTGAGGAATGCGTCACGGGATGACTTGACCGTACTGTCGACCCATTTTTTATTATGCGTTTCACCTGCGTTGACCCATGTCTCATCCAAGTAATATATTGGTCTGTTTTGTGCTCTGTATTGCCTTATTTGATCCAAGTATTTTCGGCGCCAACGTTGTATGTCTTCTCTTTCAAGAAGGGCACTACAGCGAGATTTTTTTGCATAAACAAATTTCAGTTCCTTCAACACTTTTTGAAATGACGATCGTTTAAGATTCGGTAAAGTTTCATCTTCATTAATGGCTATTAACATCTTCGCAAGTGTAGGTACTTCACGATTCAACCAAAAGCCATGTATTTTTCGCCTAATGGCATTTTTATCAAATTCGTCCACTTTGTCAAGTATTGTAAGTCTTATTTTTTTCTTGTTTGGCGATGAAACTGTACCTTCTTTTTTATACTCGGCCAATGTTGTTTGTATTGTTCGTTGTCCAATACCACTTGCCTTGGAAATTTCGACAAGCATTTGTCTGTAAGTCAATTGCGGGCTGTCTGGGTTTTCAAGTTGTTGCTTGAGTTTGTCTTTGTACAGATTGATGATAATCTGCTTTTGACCAGTCCCAACAAACTAAAGAAAATAATATATATTTAAAAATTAAGAGTTCGCAATAGAAAAATAGTCCTACAAAACTTACTTTTCCACGAGGATTTTTTTTTGAAGGAGAAATCTCGACGTGGTCCATGTTGTCCTAGTAGTCTAAGTACTAAAATAGGAAAACACTAAAAACAATAGTGAGCTAAAACTCGCAAAAAACAAAAAATTGGTGTATGTATGCCAAAACGTAAAATAAAGTAAACACTACAGTTCACGCTGTATACAAACAACCACTGACCGTGACGTCGGCAGCGGCGGTGGTGGCCGACGGTGAGCGACGGTGGCGCCGGCGGCGGAAACCAGCGTTTAGTGGGGGGAATGCGCGAGAATGGACTAGTTTTGGTCGCCGCCCAGTAGCGTTCTCTCAGTGGCCTTAGTATAGTATTAAATCATGTTTTCAGTAAAGTCGGTTATCGGTATTATTTAAAATAAATATGGTTATCGTATAATTTTTTTTACAGATGAGTCCATCACGCAATCATAATGTTAGCACACAAATTAAGGAATATAGTAAAGCATGAGAAAAATGTTATTCATATGGCCAATGGTTGTACTATTATATTGAATACAGCACATCCCTTGCCTGAATTAGTTTCTGGCAGTCAACCTGAATCGGCAAATGAAACTCCTTTGTGGGACTTGACTACATTTGAAAACCGCTTGAGAACATTTAATGACGGATGGAAATTGGAATTTTTAACACCTGATCAAATGGCAAAGGCAGGATTGTATTACCTAGGCAAGCAAGATCGTGTACGTTGCATGTTTTGCTCCAAGGAGTTTGATTATTGGCAATGTGGTGATGATCCGCTTGTAGAGCATAAACGTCAATCTCCACAATGTCCATTTTTCAAAGGAAACACAGGCAAGTGTTACTTATTACATACAACTGATTAGAATAAACATTTTTAATCAAGTTGAGTCTAATGAAATTTAAAGATCTTTCTAAAAAATGATGTTCTCTGATTTTACTTTTTGATCTGAAAAATCATTAGTTTATGGTAGTAGTATAAATAATTAACTATACCACGTTTTTCTTAATAGGATATGATGTTTGTGGTTTATACGGATCTCCACCGTCGGACAAGAGTTCTAATGAAGAAAGAAAAAAGATTCAAAATTTTTTGGATTCTTTGGGAGTAGTCCAGCAACTTAACGCTCCTATCCATAAGGACTATGCTACTTATGACGCACGTCTGGCAACATTTGATAAGTGTGAGAAAAAGATGAAACAAGAAACTCATACTCTTTGTGAAGCCGGCTTCTTTTATATAGGTAATTATAGATTTTGTTTTATCAATTGTCGTAATTTAATGTTACATTTGTTCTCTATTGTTTTCGTATAGGTGATGGCCAGAATGACCAAATGTTATGTTTCTGCTGTAGTCAAGGTCTTAAGGACTGGGAGGATGACGACGAACCATGGACAGAACATGCACGATGGTCCCCAAATTGTAGTTATGTGCTACTAAGTAAAGGCAAAACGTTTGTAGATAAACCTCTCGGTAAACAAAAAGAACTTCCTACGATAGATCAAGAAGTCAGTATTTCTTCAGTTATTTCGTATTACGTACAAGAAACTTATTTAAAAATATTTTTACAGGAATTGACCAAGTTTGTTGCCAATCATAAAGATAATTATGTTTTCGAAAGTAATATTAAAGTCAGCTCTACTAAAATGTGAGTTTGACATTTTAACTATAATGTAGTAAAATAGTATGAAATAAAGAATTGTATTGTTGATTATTTTACAAGATCCATTTTTTAACTCTATATATTACAATTTAAGTCAAAATAAAAGATCAAATACCTATTTTTGTTTAATTTCTGTTTTATAAAAAAACTAAGTGTTTATTATCTACGAGTCTCACGAGTTCATAATTTTTTTTGTTTTATCGGGTGTCACATCGTCTTTTAACTTCACAATCTGAGGTATTTTACCTTGAATACAATATGTATAATAAACATCACTTGGTCTAAATTGCTAAATATAATTTAGATAAATTTCACAATTCTGGATTTACATTTTTTTCAATTTTTGTATACAGAATTGTTATTTGAGCGCACGTCCCAAAGCCATTTAACAGGGTCACACATTTAATGAGTATTTTAAACTGTAGATCACATTCTTTTTACCATAACGCACAATTTATAATTTATATTAATATAAGTATTAATCATTTTTTTATTAATAATCAATCAATAGTTTGTTTTATGTTTGAACTATTTGTTTATTTTTCTGATTAGAAAACGTGATGATCATCCTGAAACCACATACAGCAATCAAATGACTGCATCATTGTCTGAAATCAATCCACGCCTATCCCAGCAAGACCCGAACACTATACCTGATTCAATGATGTGCAAGATATGTTTTAAAGAAAAAATGAAAGTGGCGTTTATCCCTTGCGGTCATGTTATCGCTTGCATACAATGTGCAATGACTCTTGACCAGTGTGCTGTGTGCAGGCAACCATTTACAATGGTAATGAGAGTTTATGTGTATATGGACGAAAATAAAAACGAAGACAAAGTTGAAAGTCTTAATCAGTTACCATGCAGTTCTTCCCAGTGTCCTGATGATCCAGCTAATCCAATGTTGTGCAGAGTGTGTCATAAAGAAGAGATGGAAGCTGCATTTATAGCTTGTAGACACGTTTACGCATGTGTAAAATGTGCGACGAAGATGTCTGAATGTCCCGTGTGTTTATTACCGTCCTATGGCACTATGCAAGTGTACTTATAGGGGGGGGGGTCATAGAATCACTGAGTGACTCGGTGGATACCAAAGATTTATCCATACGATGACTATAGTTAAGTGAAGTAAAATTGAATGTTGCTAAGTCAGTTCTACTAAAAGGTGAATTCGAAAATACTAATATTATATTCATGTTCATGATTTAAAGTACCTATTGTACATTTTTAATGATACACAAATATGTAATTATTATTTAAGTAGACAAACACTATAGAACTCATTGAGTACTATTTAAAAGTTGTTTTGTACAAGGCCCAATTACATTTGTAACCTAGATTATATCATATATAAGACATAGTATTAAGGTGTTGAATTTACCACTCTATTACGGACACTGTTATAACTGTAACGTACGTTGTATATATTATTCTCTATATATTTTATACTGTGTGTTTTTTATGTTTAATAGTATTGTGTTTAAACATATTATTGTTGTGTTTTATTTTCTACTTGAATACTAATTTCGACCAAGCTATACAGGCGTGTATCGCAATAGATGCTATACAAAACGCGAATGGTGGATTGATATCATTGAATAAATAATAATTTGTTCTGTATTGCTACTTGATATTATTCTACGCTAGTAACGCATCGTTTTGATAGAACCACGGTCTATACTCAATACAAGACCGTGATTAGACCACGGTAGCCTATGGTTGAAATTGAAAAATAAATCGATTTACTAGAGCTCACGGTGCGATACAGTTGACTGCACACCCCCGGCTATCAAAAATGTAGTTAGACCACCTGTACCTACCGTGCAAATTTACACCTTGTGGAAAAGACTTAAGGAAATTGCAGGAGAAAACGTTATGATGTTCGTTTTCCACAAAACACAACCAGATCCTCGCCTTTGTAAAACTGTACAAAGCGTCAAAACTTGTTTTTTTTTATGTACCAAAATTGTATTTTAGTAGTGATCATTTAAAAAAAAAAAAACAGTATAAGCGAATAAATAGAATTGGACATAAACTTATAATTTAATTTATTCAATTAACCTGTTTTGTTTTGTTGTAAGTGTGAGGCGTAATTATTGTTTTATTTACGTTATCGACATAAACCATAAAACATAGATGATACCTCGGTTATCTACATCCTTTGTATTATTTATTTAAATGGGGTTGGGGTACTAAAAATACTAACAATATGACCGTACATCAGTATAATTGGTGACCTTGCCGAAAGGCCGGTTTACATGGATGTAGCGTGACTATTATCAAAAAAAGGTTCTTTGGAACTAAAGTACTTGACCACAGCTTTGGTGCCTTCATTGACAGCGTGCTTGGCTAATTCACCAGGCAACAGGAGACGGGCGGCGGTCTGGATTGCCCGGCTGGTGATGGTCGACCGCTTGTTGTAATGTGTCAGACGCTTTGCTTCGTTGGCGATGCGTTCCAAAATATCGGTAACGAAGCTGTTCGTGATATTCATGGCCTTGGTGGACATACTCAATTCGGGGTGAACTTGTTTCAACACTTTGTAGATGTACATACTGTATGATTCTTTCCTCTTGGGCTTGCGCTTCTTGTCGGATATTTTCATGATCTTGCTTGCGGATTTACCTCCTGTCACCATAGAAACTGCGGTCGCGAGATAGTGAGCCGATAACTGGTGGACGCCGGATGTTCTGAATGATTTGCTTAACTTACAGCTATATTTATTTAACGTTGGGATGTCAATTAAGAAGTACGACTTGTAACGACAAAACGACAACGATAACTAACACTTCACGGCAGCAGTTACACTCCACAAAGTGAGGGTCCCCCCCTCCCTTCTTTGTCGCAACATAAAATGATATGATGTACTATTCTATTTTATTTAATCTAATTGATAAAAGATAACAGTACTTGTGTCGGTAGCGTGTGTGTACATTATACAAGCGTCGTCGAGTTCAAAACATTTTTTTAAAATTTTTTTAGTTTTTTCCCTTCTCTGTCACAACATTATATGATATGATGTTATATTGTATTTTATTTAATCTAATTGATAAGAGCTAACAGTACCTGTGATGCATAAAATAAAGTTAGATAGGTTTTTTAATATTATATTATAATATAAGTTATATTATAACATAGTATACTATTATATTATAATATAAGCTTACAGCTCTATGCTGGAATACTCTTGTACAAGCGTCGTCGAGTTCAAAACATTTTTTTTAATTTTTTAAGTTTTTTACCTTCTTTGGCACAACGTAATATATTTTATTTATTTAATCTGCCACCGTACACCATATACATGTATATTTACTTTCCCACCCCTTTCTTTGTCACATCATTATATGATATGATATGATATTATATTTTTTTGCGCATGCGCCGAAAGTTTACAGCTCTATGCATGAACATAGCTAATATAGTCTGTTTTATTTAATCTACCGCCGTGGCCATTTATACGGATGTTTACTTCCCCCCTTCTTTGTCACAACATAAAATTATATGATGTAATATTCTATTTTATTTAATCTAACTGATAAGAGATAACAATACTTGTAATATATGAAATAAAATAAGATAGGTTAGGTTAGTATTTTATTCAATCTACCGTCGTGGCCACATATATGGATATTTACTTTTTCCTCTTCTTTGTCAGACCATCATATGATATGATATAATATTCTTTTTTTGTTGGGCATGCGCCGAAAGGTTACAGCTCTATGCTGGAATACTCTTGTACAAGCGTCGTCGAGTTCAAAACATTGTTTTAAATTTTTTAAGTTTTTTCCCTTCTTTGGCACAACATAATATATTTTATTTATTTAATCTACCACCGTACACCATATACATGTATATTTACTTTCCCCCCTTTCTTTGTCACATCATTATATGATATGATATGATATTATATTTTTTTGCGCATGCGCCGAAAGTTTACAGCTCTATGCATGAACATAGCTAATATAGTCTGTTTTATTTAATCTACCGCCGTGGCCATTTATACGGATGTTTACTTCCCCCCTTCTTTGTCACAACATAAAATTATATGATGTAATATTCTATTTTATTTAATCTAACTGATAAGAGATAACAATACTTGTAATATATGAAATAAAATAAGATAGGTTAGGTTAGTATTTTATTCAATCTACCGTCGTGGCCACATATATGGATATTTACTTTTTCCTCTTCTTTGTCAGACCATCATATGATATGATATAATATTCTTTTTTTGTTGGGCATGCGCCGAAAGGTTACAGCTCTATGCTGGAATACTCTTGTACAAGCGTCGTCGAGTTCAAAACATTGTTTTAAATTTTTTAAGTTTTTTCCCTTCTTTGGCACAACATAATATATTTTATTTATTTAATCTACCACCGTACACCATATACATGTATATTTACTTTTCCCCCCTTTCTTTGTCACATCATTATATGATATGATATGATATTATATTTTTTTGCGCATGCGCCGAAAGTTTACAGCTCTATGCATGAACATAGCTAATATAGTCTGTTTTATTTAATCTACCGCCGTGGCCATTTATACGGATGTTTACTTCCCCCCTTCTTTGTCACAACATAAAATTATATGATGTAATATTCTATTTTATTTAATCTAACTGATAAGAGATAACAATACTTGTAATATATGAAATAAAATAAGATAGGTTTGGTTAGTATTTTATTCAATCTACCGTCGTGGCCACATATATGGATATTTACTTTTTCCTCTTCTTTGTCAGACCATCATATGATATGATATAATATTCTATTTTTGTTGGGCATGCGCCGAAAGTTTACAGCTCTATGCTGGAATACTCTTGTACAAGCGTCGTCGAGTTCAAAACATTGTTTTAAATTTTTTAAGTTTTTCCCTTCTTTGGCATAACATAATATATTTTATTTATTTAATCTACCACCGTACACCATATACATGTATATTTACTTTTCCCCCCTTCTTTGTCACAACATAAAATTATATGATGTAATATTCTATTTTATTTAATCTAACTGATAAGAGATAACAATACTTGTAATATATGAAATAAAATAAGATAGGTTAGGTTAGTATTTTATTCAATCTACCTTCGTGGCCACATATATGGATATTTACTTTTTCCTCTTCTTTGTCAGACCATCATATGATATGATATAATATTCTTTTTTTGTTGGGCATGCGCCGAAAGGTTACAGCTCTATGCTGGAATACTCTTGTACAAGCGTCGTCGAGTTCAAAACATTGTTTTAAATTTTTTAAGTTTTTTCCCTTCTTTGGCACAACATAATATATTTTATTTATTTAATCTACCACCGTACACCATATACATGTATATTTACTTTTCCCCCCTTTCTTTGTCACATCATTATATGATATGATATGATATTATATTTTTTTGCGCATGCGCCGAAAGTTTACAGCTCTATGCATGAACATAGCTAATATAGTCTGTTTTATTTAATCTACCGCCGTGGCCATTTATACGGATGTTTACTTCCCCCCTTCTTTGTCACAACATAAAATTATATGATGTAATATTCTATTTTATTTAATCTAATTGATAAGAGATAACAGTACTTGTGTCGGTAGCGTGTGTGTACATTTTACAAGCGGCGTCGTGTTCAAAACATTTTTTTTTAATTTTCCCCCTTCTTTGTCACATCATATGATATGTATATGTATATATTATAATAGATATCCTAGTGGGAAAAATAGTAACTAATGTATCTAATATGATATATATACACCCTATGCCTCGCGCGCGCGACAGACTCTGTCCAGGTACTGGATGAGACGGACGTCTCATGGAGGACCGCCGACGGCGTCTCTCGAATATATATATATATATATATATATATATATATATATGTATATATATATATATGTATAGACATATATCCTAGCGGCATATTTAGAAACTAACGTCTCCACCCACCGTCAGAGGGTATATATAGAGGTGCGGGTTCGCGCGCGCGAGACTTCTGTCGTAGACATACACCGAAGACGAAGTCTCTCGTACTCCACTCAACAGCCGTCCGGTTCTGTCCGGGTCGGCACGGCTATCGTCGGGTTCTGTCCGGGTCGGCACGGCTATCGTCCGGTTTTTTTATGTTTTCACCGGAATCGCAGTCGGACAAATTTCACACATCGTAAAATATTTTCTACACCAATATGCAGTGTTACCAGATTAACAATTAAAAATTTCCCCGATCTTCATAAAAAAAAAAGTTTCGAAAAAATCTAAAAAATAAGATAGGGTTGTTAAATATTATATCCTATTTTATTTAATCTAACTGATAAGAGATAACAGTACTCGAATCGACGGTTTCACACATTGTAAAATTAGTTTTTATTTCATTATCCTACCAGGATCCTAGAGGTCCAGAGCCGCCGGGCCGTGGCTACAGACATCACCGCCGCTGCGTCCTGGGACTCTGGTACCGCGAGCCGCAGCTACAATCGCCGCCGTCAAACGTGTCACAATCACCACCACGGCCATCGCTGCGTCCTGGCACCCTGATACCGTGAGCCGTAATGCGAGCACGGTTGCTGGCCGGTGAATCCGTGAATGTTTAAAATTACATTCACTATGATGGGTGCAGTCGGTAGTGCGTGGAAACATTCTACAAGCGTCGTCGAGAACAAATCTTGCTTTTTCAATTTATTCTAAAATTTAAATTTGATTGTGACGTCACACGAGGATCGCCGATGACACGGAAAATCTTGTTTTTTATTATTTACAATTCTTATACATTATTTACATTAATAATATGCATTAACAATATTAATCCTCACGGTAAGTTTTTTTTTTATCATATATTATATCAGTGTATTGTATTACTCGGCTATGTTGCTCGTGCGTAAAACTTTACAAAGTTATGCTGAGTCTCATGGTGTTGATTGCTTGTAGGAATACCGGCAGACCGTCACCCGTACGGAAATGCTGTAGTTTTTAGCTCGAATAAACGTAATAGTAAATCGGGTCTGACATATTATATTATATTATGGAGACATTAGTTTCTATTTTTGCCACTAGGCTACATATCATACTATATGATGAGACAAAGAAGGGAGGAAAATTTTAAATTTTAAAAAATGTTACAACTCGACGATGCTTGTACCATGTAAAAGTACAAAGTACTGTTATCTCTTATCAATTAGATTACATACTACTAATTCAGACTCTTTCCGTATTGTAGTAAGCCCGGAAATGGCTTTACATAAATAAAGTATATGAGGAACAAATGTAGACTTTATAATACGTATAAAATAGTATACGATTTATTAGTGCTGTATATTGTCATTTTTATAACCTCCAAGTCCGTCATCGGATATCACTCTGTTGTTGAATTTTACTAAAACACACACACACGTTTACTACATTTTATACTAATTATTAATCCACCTCGTCTATCTTAAATAACCATCGTCAGGCGAAGACGAAACATAACGCAGACGGATGGATGTTTTTTTTTTAATGTTTCCTTAGTGTGGAGAACAATAATTCGGTTGTTCCCAACCGTTATTATCTAACCGTGGTTAACTTAACTCGAAATCAACGCAATGTGAGAGTATAAAAAAAAACAGCCACATTGAAATTAGACGGAGACAAGTGGAATCTAACTTGTGGGTGGTTGCGGAACCGGTCAAGCGGTCTGCTTGCATGCTATCGGCCGCAACAGGAACGTTACTAAACTGGGACAACGATCAAAAAACACCGTGAAAGATTCCGCTCGTATCTACAACGCAACTCGCGGCTTTGGTGGCCAACTGCTTTCTGAGAGCCTTGCCTCCGGGAGATTTCCAGGTGGATTGCTTCGTACGGGCCATGTCGGTAGATAGTAGATTGTCTGTAAAACTCGAAACGGTCGAATATGTCTCCGGAAATTTTTGCATTGCTGGTTTGGATTGTTCCTCTGTTTCAAGCTATTTGCTTCTTCCAGGGAGTTTGATATATTGGCTTGAATCTCTGTGGATTTTATTTTCCCTGTTTGGTTTCTTCCGTTAGTGTTTTAACTTCCGATGCTGAGGGGTCGTTTGTGGTGACGCTCTCTTGTAGCTGGTCGGGTGGTGATTAGCTTGAGATGTTGGTGGGGGGTGTTTTCAAGCTTCTTGTATACGTTTTGTGTCGCTTTCTTTATGGTTTCTCGGATTGTTGGCATTTTCGTGCTGTTTCTTACTGCCGTGTTGTTCGCAAATGGCGCTGGATTTATTATTGCCCTGAGCGTGGTGTTTTGGACGGTTTCGAGTATTTTCCAACTTGTTTCTGAAAGGTTTGACGCCCAGGCTGCTCCTCCGTACGTCATGATTGGCCTGATATATAGCTTGTATATTGACAGTTTTGTGTTGATGGAGAGGGGGGCTCTTTGAGTTTATGACCGGGAATAGCATTCTCTTGGCTGCTTTGGCTTTTTGGACCGTCTTGTTGATGTGCTGGGAAAAGTTGAGCCTCCGGTCGATTTGAACTCCCAGGTATCTGGTCGAGTGGGACCATTTGATTTGTTGACCTTGCATGACAATCCGTGGTGTGTTCGTCGTGGCTTTGTTGGAGAACATGATAGCGTTTGTTTTTTGTCTCCGGAAACCGAATGTGCTTGTAGATATACAAATTCGGATCGATTGCGCGGGTTCTCATTGGTCAACGGAACGGCTAGCCGATAGCCGATACGGCTAGCGATACCGCGCTGTAATTGGCCCGCGTGACGGCCCGATCATACAAGTACGGCGCAAAAACGTTGGCTGGGCATTATTCGATGTGTTGCTTGATGCTTCAGTTTACAGCAGCTCTCCAAACGACAATCAGCGACAATGACTGGATGCGGCAAAGGAGGAAAAGGTTTGGGAAAAGGAAGCGCCAAACGTCGTCGTAAAGTGATCCGGGACAACATCCAAGGAATCACCAAGCCGGACATTCGTCGGTTAGCTCGCCGCGGTGGTGTTAAACGTATCTCCGGTCTGATCTACGAAGAGATCCGCGGAGTTTTGAAAACGTTCCTGGAAAAGGTGATCTTTGACGCAATCGCCTACACCGACCACGCCAATAGAAAGACCGTCACCGCCATGGACGTGATCTACGCTTTGAAACGCCAAGGCCGCGCCTTGTACGGTTTCGGAGGTTAATTCCCGCCGACCGTTCGCTTTGCATCTTACCTACGGTCAGTTAAAACGATCCTTATAGGACTACTATTTCATAGTATTACAATAGTTTTTTTTTTTATTAACGTGTCAAATGCAATTCGCAGTCGGCTACATAAAAACTAATATTATAATATTATTATAGGATTATAGGAGGGTAGGAATATTATAGGATAGGTATTATTATAAAATGTTTAATATATTCATTAATCATTAACAAACCCATGTTTGAAATAAATAATAACTATATTACTTACTTGAACACAAATAAATTAAAGGTTTAGCCGATAGTAAATGTAAAGTCACAAGTTGGCATTTCTGTGATTTGTAATGTGATATATGAAATGTTAGGTAGATACCTAAAATCAAAGAAAGCTTCTGTGGAAATAGACTTTTTAAAATATTATTGTAAATGGACGCCCTTAAAAATAATACAAACTCTTATACTTTGCATGTAGGTGCAAGTAACCATTCCTCCCCCCTAGGTAGTTGTCCGCCCTGAAAGACAAGCAGTTATCTATGTACCTACAACACGGAATTATTTGCAAATAAATATAGAATTATTATGATTAGTATGTCATATCAATTTCCGATCTTCTCCTTTTAGTTATGACAAAATTGCACATGATAATTTAATGACGGGAACATTCATGTTTACATTTACAATTATTTATTTTCATATAATCCGCAGTCGCCTGATTTCATTTTTTCTCTCTCGGTATTTACCGATTTTTTTTTTTAATTGCATTTGGTCCGCTTCTAAACTTATTTTTGCTTTTTTTCTTAAGTAATATTTTTTTACAAGGACAATGGTATATATGTATATTTACTGTGTTTTGCGATGTGTGCAAATATATACGCCAATTAATATAACATTGATTAAGTATGTTTCAGATAGGAGCGCCGGCTATATTTATCCGTTTATAATCATTTTATTATATATTGAAAATGTCGTTTTCGCGACAGCTTGTCTAATACATTTTTTTTTATTTATTCTTTATTTTATGTCTAACTTTAAATAAATTTAGTATTAACCATTAGTTACGCGAAACATATGCAACTATAAGGCGCAAGTTAGCCAACATCAAGAAAATTTCATGTACATTTTTCTGTATCATATGTCTTATAATTGTATACATTTTTCTTTAAAATTATCGCGAAAAATCCTGGTCAAACTAATATAGTTAATAGTTAAACTATAAATTTGAACTTTAACTTCATTATCAAAATTCTTTTCCCCAATAAACGTGCATTGTTAACTTAAGAACACATTGTATATGGTTATGGTTTTTGGCAACTTTTTCCCATGACCATTAGGATAACTTAACTGCATTTCATATTATAATAACAAAATTTTAATTTTCTTTCTTTCAACAAAGCATTTGTCTAATGCACGTTTACCATTACCTGTGACATAATAATGATATAACGTAACAATGATCCAACTTTTAAATGTATTTTTTTTTTGTATGTATGTGTCCCTTCTAGGTTCTCAAAAGTTACGAGGAATTAAAGGCAATTGGACGTCATCAAAATCAACAAAAATTCCTTCAGATATTGGAGTCCACCCCAATAATAATAGTACCCTACCTTTGTTTGCGGGGAAATTGTAACCACTTCATTTAGTTAATTATTTTATTATTTTATTATTTACTTCGGATTCCCACGGACCAGGTAAAAGGTATGAACCTTCATATATATATATATATATATATATAATTATACATTTTGTTTCAGTCATTTAAATATTGTAATCAATAACTAAATTCTTAACTGGCTTTAAGTCTTTTTAAATAAATAATATTGTAACGTTGCTACTTAAGAGTTCAGTTCATTTACTTAAAGGTACGACCGGCCCTTTTGGTCTTTTGGGCGGTTATATAAATTAACAAAGAGTCTTTAGGGATATTTTAGGATAGATACAGGGTAGTTTCCCGTCCCGCCTAGGGCCCCTTAATTTATCCTCAGAAGGTGGACAGTCGTGGGTGTGATCCACTCATCGCATTGTATCGTAACAAATTATAAATGGTGTCGATTTTAAATGGTGACGATTGTGAATGGTGTCGATTTTTCCATGTATGTACCTAAGCAAAGGATTGAAAAAAATGTAAATAACTAACCAAGTGAATGTTGCCAATAAATCGAGGTTTATTTTGAGGTGCGACGTCCCCTTAAGGCCAAATATTAAAAAAAAAAACCAGTGCGTGTTACGAGTATGCGCGTATGAAGTGAAACTTATTTCAGTCATCCAACCGATAGAATATTAGGTTCGTATTGGAATAAAATAAATTAAAAAAAAATACACCTAAAAAATTGCATTTTTAATTGAGATTAATGTAATTAAATATTATTATTTTTAATTATCTTATGCTGCCACGAAAGCTATAATAGGCGTATGGTAACTGAAATAACTAATATAAGTTTTGGATTAAACGCTATGATTTATGAAGATATCTTGAGAAAACTGCATGTATTGTTGTTCCTGACCGAGTTGTTGGAGTTTCTGGATCATTATTCATTACTAAACTGAAATTTTCACTAAAAAATTGTTTGAATAGTTCTGATCTATCCGTTGCAAAATTAACATTAAAGCATCCACTCATAATCATAGGCAATTTACCATCTCCCCTGCCGAGTAATGCTGCACCTCCGGTAGTATAGGCGAGCAACGATCTATTTAAAAAATAAACTGTATCATCTATATTTTGAATTGGTGAGATATAAACTGCTATATACAATGATGATAATTTGTTTATTTTGTCTTAAGCACTCGGCGACACAAAATTCACCGACTGGAGTAATTCTCGAATTAAATAATTCTGATTGTCCTATTGTAATCTAAATTGATGAAGTGACAATTTTAACTACATCGTCATTACGATGATAAATAGCTACTCCTCCAGATCTGACAGTCGGTCACTTACAATTAATGATACAATTAAAATTGGGGGGGGGGAATTTATAGTATTTTCGTTTTCGTGATTCCATTGAACATGTTTGATCTCGAACAAATGTAGCTAGGTTTCTAAATATAATAATAATTAATATTTTTAATAATTTAAAAGATTATTGCGTATATTATTATTAAATTTTTATTCTATATTATATTTATATTATTATTATTTACGGTCGTTCGTGAAGATGCACAAAAACGAAAAAAAAAATGCGAAAAATCAGTTTCGCCGACCGGAATCGAACCCGCAATAGTGTACTTTATTAAGTTGAGAAACTAACCATTACGCTATCTAAACGTGTTTACTGGTAGCAGAAATTTTTGGGTAATTAACATAAAAGTAGGTAATACAAATAATATAAAGTCGCGTGAGTTTGGGCATTAACTTAAAACTATGAATATTAAAATACTATAGTAATTAAAATGCCTTACTAGAACAAAATAAAGGTAACTACTAAATAAATCACAGTTATATAAATAATCAGTCCATAATTAATACTTGACGATAACATTGTAATGTGATGCTTGGTGATATATAATATCAAAAAGTATCGTGTTGTTCAATTTGAAACCAGTTCAGGAAGATGGATTTAAAATAATTTAAGACTTTTTCAAAATATAAGTATAAAATTTATTGTATAGTAAAAGTGCGTAGACAACAGCTACATAAGTGTATTTAACATGAGTGTAATAATTCGTCTGGAATAGGCTTGGATCCTACTCCTATTTATATGGTTATGCTAATCTGTGTAATGTGTTATTGTGTAAATTGTGTTGACTCGATGGGCGGATGCTACAGCGAACGCTCATCGTATGATTATTTTAATTGGTATTATTTTGGCAATCTAATCTTATAGAATGGCAATAACATGTTTTTCCCAAATAGCTTATCAAAGCGGAACGGACTAAAGTAGTATTGATATATATATATATATTTGTAATATAATTCAATCACTACGCCAGATAACCATGCAGGTGCGCTCTGTAATAACCAGTAGTCATCTATCGTATAGGTATGCCAATGTATGACTCAGAGAGCTATTGTAATATGAGTATTATTATGCTTAGTGTAGTTGGTTGTTTTGTGTAATGGTGTGTAGAGGTTAACTGAAGGTTATGTTCATAACAGTAACATAATTCAAATTAAACTCTTTTTGCAATAGTTAAACAAATACAATCATAAATATGGTAAGTCTTAATAAAGTATAAATTTTGTAGGAGGCTTAAGAAACAGTATTGCCTGACGAGGGTGAAGACTTGTAATTTATTAACCATACATATGGGTTGAATTTGCGCCAGCGTTTTTTTTTTCGAAATAAACTCTACTTGTATTTTATTGTTAAAAAAATTAATTTATTTTTGTTTATAAAACCTTACATTTATACCGTTCATAGTATACGCGGTTTATTGTGCAAATTGAATCCATTTAATATCAAGAGAAACTATATATTATATAGACATTGATATTTACGTTTAGAAAATCTAATTTTATGCGGTTAACCCTTATGTCGTTTTTTTTTCAAGAGATAAGTTACAAAAGTAAATTATGCCTGTGAATTCAGCTACAATTTTTATTTAAATAGCTTGAGTTAAGTAAATTTAGTTAATAATTACTATTGTGTTTTATTTTTCATATAAATCAATTAAAGTCAATTACCATGTTTTAAGTTCATAATTTGTTTTTTTTTTGTTTCATAACAACATTTCATTTTCTATTACTCAAAGTGAAGAAAAAAATCATTTAATCGCTAAAGCATTGGGAGAAGCTTACACTAGTGATTATTAAATAAATAATAGTTGTTAAAATAAAAATATGACGAAGTCACATAAAAACCGTCATAAATCGCTGGGATCCAATGATACCAATTACAATGCTAGTTATGCAGTCGCCAAAACATGGTTTACGTAGTACAAATGATACAGTGTTGGACGTGCAGTCCAATATTGGTGGATACAACAATAAACGGATCACACATAATATGTGAGCTCTACTACATAAATCCAGGATTCTGTCCGATCGCTAACAGGGTAG